TCCTTCCTTCCTTCCTTCCTTCCTTCCTTCCTTCCTTCCTTCCTTCCTTTTTTTCTTTCTCCTCCCCCCCCTCCTCTTCCTTCCTGCTTGCTTTCTCTTTTCTTCCTTCCTTCCCTTTCTCCTCCCTTCTTCCTTTTTTCAATTTCCTCCCTTCCTCCTGCCTGGCTCCTCTCATCCTGCAGAGCCCGAGAGGAACGAACTCTTTGGGGAGCGCCATCTCCTGGCGGGTTCGCAGCCCTGCAGACATTGGGCCGCCAAAAGGAATCGATCGCTCGATCAATATCTTTTCCTCTTGCTGCGTCATGCTTGTTTTCGAGACACAGCACTTCGCCTCGTCAGCCAGGCTTGGGCAGAGAAATCTGGAAGCGGGGAAGCGCTGCGCCGGTTCGAGAAGAAGTCGTCCCCCTGTGCAAAATCATCATAATTCTAATATCCCACTTATTTTTCTAAGCAGCTGCTGGCTGGAATTCATGTTGGACCTTGTAATGACAGGCCTGTTTGCAAGCACTTCGTTCATCGAGGATGCAAAACGGGGCTGGCTAATTTTCTCTGCTGGACCTTCAATCTTGCAACCTTTCCCATCATCCTTGGTGCGGAAGGAGGCCGTTCAAACCCACATCGGTGCAAGATTTCCAGCACGCGCAGGGAAACCAAGGAGCACCGATTGTGACTGTGTTCACTTTAAAATCTGGCACCCTTTAGTTCCCAAATAATTGCAAGGCTTCTCTGCTGATTGCGAAGCCCTGCAAAATTTCTGCTTTCTAGTATCTCCGGTGCGGTCATCTTGGGCCCCCCCAAAATCTTCCTTGCCCAGAGGAGACCCCTTGAAACCCCTCAAACCCACTTTTGGCCCAATCTTTGACACACAAGGGGGATTTGTCTTCCGTGCCATTCCCATCTCCCCACGTGGGTCTCTCAATCTCAGCAGCTTTAAACTATGTGGACTTCAAATCCCAGAATTCCCCAGCCAGCACGCAAGGACGTCCACTCCCAGAATTCCCCAGCCAGCATGCCTTTTTGGCTTTTTTGAAAAAAAAAAACTTCTACAAACTTTCAACTCTTCTGGCAGAGTTTCCCTTTTGGGCTACAGATAGTGGCGTCTGCTCTGAAAAGATCAACCCTCAGGGGGAAAAAGGTGGAATTGCTCGGATTAATGTAATTAGAGGGAAGTTTCAAGGCTGCACTCCAACAGGGGTAGTTCAGGGATAAAAAACACTAGAAGTTTCAGGTGCAAAAAATAACAGGGCTTATTTATTCATGAATAGGCTGAAGTGGCAGAGCAAAGTCCTTGCATCTCGGATGAAACATGATCCATGTTTTTTTTTTCTGCGATTAGAGAATTATTTCCCTATTTGTCAAGTACTTTGGAAAAAAGTTTGATTTTTTTTTTTTAATTTTGCAAGAGAGGTGTCACTGAATCTGTTGCTAATGTTTTTGTCATAGCTATGACTCCGGGCAAAAGAAATACGGCTAAGAAATGGCTGAGATTCTCAAACAGCCTCCCTTAGTTTATCTTCTTGGAGCGGTTGGTGGAGGAGGATGAAATGAAGGTCTCCAACAGGGAGGGACTCAAGAGTTCACCTTGGCTTTCTCGGTGCCGTCCTTCGCTTGCTCAGGATAGCCTTGTACCCTCGGGAGGAACGGGGCTCGGCCTCGATCACCTGGTGGGTGACGTTCCCTCTGCCTTTGCTGCAGAGGAAGATGAAGAGGAAGCAGACCAGGACGGAGCACAGAAAGGGGACAATCCCGATGACCAGGATCCCCAGCCAGATGCTGGTGTTGATGAAGAAGAGAGAGGAGATCCCAGTCTTATTGCGCAGACTGGAGTCATTCCAGACCAGGGACTGGTTGAACCAAGGCACGAAGACGTGGAGAGAAGCTACCATGGAATCGTTGCCCGCCACGTTGCTTGCCACACAACGGTACAGCCCACTGTCTTCGGGTAGGGCGTACTGAATCTTTAGAGTCCCATCGGAAAGGACTGTTGTCCGGCCTTTGCGGGTTGAGTCTAAGGTGATGTTTTGAGGGTTCACCCAGGAAATCCTGGGGGGTGGATCTCCATCACTGTTGCAAGTCAAGTTGGCCTGCTCCCCTTCATTGACAATCACTTTCTGGAGCGTCTTGTTCTCGATCTTAGACTTCCGACAGGTGAAGTGGTGTGGCAGAGCGCTGGAGAATTTATGGAAGAGTTTTTCTCCTTCTTCTGAGCTGGTGGCACAGATGGGCAGCTGAGACTCAAAGTTCAACCTTTGCCGCCTCTTGATGATCCAAAGAAGGCGGCAGTCGCACGCCAAGGGGTTTTTGTCCAGCCGGAGGACCTCCAGGTTCCCCACTGAGTGGAAGACCCTTTCTTCGAGGGTCTGCAGATTGTTGGCTGAGACGTTGAGGAGACGGAAATGGATGAGGCCTTCAAAAGCATTGGCTTGGATGGTGGTCAGTTGGCCACCAGTAAGGTGGAACTCCTGAAGACGGGAGAGATCCAGCAACTTCCTTCCACGGATCATAGAGATGGGATTGTAAGAGAGGTCCAGGAAACGGAGATGGGCCAGGTGCTTGATGGCTTTATAAGGAACATCACGGAGGCTGCATTTGATAATGTATAAGGAAGTGAGATTTAAGCCAGAGAGACTGTGAGGCTCCAACGTTGTCAGGAAAGGCCACTGGTTGATCTCCAGAATCTTTAACTGATGGAGCTTCCGAAAGGAATAATTGTGGAGGACTCTGAGGTGGAGGACTTTGAGATGAAGCTTCGCCAGATGGTGAAGGTGGGAGAGGGCCTCCGTTGGCAGGCTGGTGAAATTGCATTTTTGCAGAGCGAGCTGCCGCAGATTTTGGAGGCCTCTGAAAGCCTGGCTTGAAATCAAGACCAAAGGGTTGTCTCGTATGTCCAGATTCCCAAGACTGAAGAGGTCTTTGAAAGAGTGATCCAAGAAGATGAGGATCTTGTTTTCACTCAGGTCAAGTGTGGAGAGGTTGGGCAGCCCTGTAAAGACCCCGTCTGCTACCATCTTCAACTTGTTGCCCGCAAGCCGGAGCGTCATGATCTTCTGAAGGCCATTGAAGGCTCCCTGTTCAATATTGGAGATGATGTTAGAACTGAGGTCCAGCTCCTTCAGGGCTTGGAGACGGGAGAACATGCCCTGATGTAGGGTGCGGAGGACGTTTTGGCTTAAGTCCAGGAATTCTGAATCCGGAGGGATCCTGGCAGGCACAGCTGTCAAGTTCCTGCTGTTGCAGAGGACAACCTTCTCCTGAAGCAAGCACTTGCACCTGAAAGGACAGCTCCATCCAGACCCCACCAAGAAGACTACCGCCATGAAGACCAGGAACCAGTGGCTTGCCCCGGAGGACGGCAGATCCAGGGAGGGCCTGATCAGCATCTTGAGAAGTTCCTGAAACCACCTCCACAGCTAAACAACACAGAGAGAGTTGCAGTCAGTTGCAGGCATCAACCATCATGAAGAAAAAGCCCTGGTGGAGCTAGCTTTTGAGCATCTGGGGAGGAACTTTGGCAGCCCCCTGGATGTCTTCATCTTAGGCTTTGATTCATAACTGAAAAACTCTCGGGGGTCTACAAACAGCTTAAAGGTCCCGAATAAATGGCCAGAATGCGGCTTCTGAAAAAGAAGAGGCAGGGAGGAGTAATGGTGAAGGAGGTATTGAACTGGGGAGGCCTGGGTTCAAGTCCCCCCCCCCAGTTCCAGAAGTCCCAGCTGTTCTCTCTCAGCAAGGCTGTGGTTGCGGACAAAATTGGGAGGAGGAAGCAATGCATGGATACACTCCTGAATCAAAAGCAGGACATCAATCTGATAAAAGTCTCCAAATCCCGCCTTTGGAACCATGGACTCGGGGGGGGGGACCCACCCACTGGGCACCCCTTTCCCGTTGGTGTGCACAGCACCCAGCAGATGGGTGGGTCAACCACCTTCCCTCAAGCCATCATTGCCCGCAGATCCTGGGTAAGGGAAGGAGTCAAGCTGGCGCTCAGGAGACTTGCAGAAGAGTAAATACGTGGAGGATTGGGAAGAAGGGACACCAAGCGGAGGAAAGGAGACCTATCAGCAATGCTGAATCACGACTTAACCAGCTTAGGAACACCTCCAAACCCTGTTCTGAGAAGGACCTCAGTTGACCTCTTTGGGGGGACCCCGTTCTTACCTTCCTGGTCTCCTTCCTTCTTGTTTGATGTCTGGAAATGCCAGGCACCAATTCGCGAGTCCTGGCTAGACCTTGCTCAAGGGACCCCACCCCATTCCTCCACTCGGGACAAGGAAGGAGTGAATGGAAACACGGCGACGAAGAGCCGGAAAACTCTTCTTCGGGGAAACGCAGCTGCTTTGGGTCAGCCACCAGAGCTCACCTGCTTTCTGAGTTCTTCGCCCCCTTTCCTTGAAGAGAAACAAGCTTGTTTCAGCTGGAGCCTCGCGGGTGGCGAATCAGACCTTTGAGATCCTAAGGAAAAGTGGCACAGTGGGGTGGCCTCCTGTTCACCTTGGGGAGAACTGGAGAGGTGAAGGTGGATTTTGCCTCTCCAGGTAGCGTTGGAAGAACAAAACCAACCAGACATTCATTAGAAAGAGGCCTTTGGAAGAACAGGATCTCTGCAAGACACCCAAGCATTTTCATTAGACGTCCTGCAGGGTGATGAAGCCTCAGGCGTCCGTGAAATTCATTCCCTTAAACGGAGAACACGACAGAGTCATCTCACTTTAAACCATCCTTCCACTCCATGCTCGGAGCGACTCATGCCACGAGCAAAGTGCTTTTCACAACTGTGAAATCCAACCTCATTTTCTCCTAAGGCGGCCTCTGGGGCTGCCGCGGACGTGACTGCAGAATCCGCCCAGATCCGCTCTCCGGTTTGGCAAGGCCGAAGTGGGAAAACAGGAGGGGAGGAAGCCCACAGAGACCCACGCACAAGCGCACACACGCAGAGCGTGGCTGAAGAGTCCGTTTGCTGCCGGCGTAAAAATCAAGAGACAGTTGGGTGATCTATCGGCGGATGATTTCGGCTGGAAAGACCTCCTGCTCACCGCGGGAGTAACGTACGAGCAGAGCAAGCCGACAGATGCCGGCTTAAATGCCTCCAAAACGCAGACCCCGCCAGCTCCGGAGCCAATCTGCTCCATGGCCAACTGCTCTTGCCCGTAGCACGGGCAGCGCTGGGGGAGATGGGCGGCACGCAAATTTAATAAATAAATAAATAAATAAATAAATAATCTGGTTG